ACCACGCCAATCTAGGACTTCAGGATAGCACCTCCAACTATTCTTGTCTGTTTTACACCATTCTGCACATTTTAGATCGCCTTTATAATGTTAGATGGTGAAACTTGACACTCTCCAAAGCACATTACGCTGTGTCCTCGCTTTGAGCCACAACGATCGAATGTGTGTGTAGAGGGTTCAGATGATTAGTATTTGTTCGTATCAAATCAGTTTGTACAGTTAGACATGATTGACGCCGAGATAGACACAACGGATTTTGAAGTCAAACCTCCCCTTTTCTCACACCACCTAACTCGGCTAGAGGAGATTTGGTTACACAAACAGTGTTTTGGCAAATCCAACGGCTCCAATGGTAGTTCAGCTGGTTCTATTTGTCGCTAGCAGGTGAAATTTCTTTATGTGCTCATTGTCAATTGCGGATTTTGTTTAACAACGTATTCCGGGTCACGTACAGAAAATCCTTAGATAGTTGACACGGTTCGGTGGCAAGAATTACTGCCTGTTTCTCAAGACTGTTAAGGTCTTCGAATAGGTATAAAAAATTAGATGAAAAACTCAATTAACCAACGCGCACGAAACCATAGAAAATGCAGGATATTTCCCAAAACTTACTATCATGTCAACATGTCTCGAATCCAATTCATCTTCTACAGACGTGGTCTTTAAGTATTAAACATGCCTTTTACTTCCATAATCAAGGCGCTTTGTATAGAAACACACACACTCAAATCCTTCCAATTTGGTTGGATAACGCACAGTTTTCACCGAGGTCACAAATAACGCGTTAGCTGGGATTCCAACTTTGACATTGTATCACGCGATTCGCGAGGATGACCCATTATCTGGGACAAGGATCAAATGGGCCACCAACTTAGGGTAGAGATGGCCAACAAAGAGTGTTGAATACTCGTTTACTTAGACCTTGTTCCTTAATGAAGATCCGTCCTATGATCCGGATAAACACACCCAGAAACCGTATAGTTGAGAGAAGATTGATAAGAGGAAGATGAGTACTGGTAAGGGTCAACGCTGGAAGTTTGAAAGACGCTTTGAGTAGGAGAGGAACAGCAATGGAATAGGGTGACTGATGAAGCTTTTGACAAAACCCTTCAGCAATATCACGACAAATGAGGTGAATTTAATATAATTTGATTGGAAAACAAATTCAACAGGCGTCTACAACAAGGCGCACAAGTCACATGCAGTTGCCTTAAAATTCTGCAATAATCTGATTTCGAGGTCATCGTGAAGCGACCGTCTTTCCAACTGCACTTAAAAAACTGCTTTTGAATCGAGCGGAACACAGAGGCGTAGATGAACAACCCACTTTGATGATTTGCATCAAGAGTCGTGAAGGGTCGTGCTCTCGTTGTTTACCCTAGGTTTGATTAATTATCTATCGACTCAAGGCATGAATATGTAAGTCGATAGTTATAATTGCACGCTAGGGACATCAGTGATTTGAACTAATTGAATGATGTAGCTTTGCCTAGATGTTCTGTAAAAGTTGCAAGCGAATCCCATTGCTCAGGACTGAAGATCAATTCATAATTGACCTCATTGCACACTAATGCATCCTTATGGTGATGATGATAATAATGATGCGCCGGAAATCGTGAACGATCATTTGTTTAAAGATGAACAAGGAGAGGATCAAAAAACACTGAGGGTCTTGAAACAGGGAAGGTACTTTTAAACTTTCTGATTTCTAAAAATGTCGACTTCGAAAGCAGCCGTGTGAAGGTTGGGTCAAAAGAACGCCGTTTGGAAATCAGACTAACGTCAAACCATTTTAATAGCCTCTGTTCGTAATCAACCTTCAACAAATATGTGTGCGCTGCTATTGCGAAGGAATGGCAACTGAGTAAACGGGTATGCGGTACACTTCATTCGCCATCTCTTCCAAATGTTGGTAGCCAATTAGATCCTTGGCCCTTACACAAAACGATATTCCTTCCGAATCATCTTGTGTCACGTCCAAGTTGGTGCCCATTTGTGAAATCTTTACACAAGTGCCCGTCATGCAACCAAATTATCTGGTGCCTTAAGTCCTGAAGTACACTCGCGTCTAACGCTGAAAGACTAGTTCTGTGGAAAGTGTGCTTGATTCTAGACAAGCAGCTAGGTGACGACATGGTTGGAAATTTGGGAAATATATTGCGTGTGGACGGATTTGTTCACGTTGGTCAAGGAACAATATTTCAAATACAGTATATCAGTTCACTAAACAATGTCAACTATCTAAGACCCTAATAACCTCGGCTGGCGTAAATTAACGTGCCTACAATAGTTAAACGGCCAGTTTGGGGTCTACAAGATGGGACAGACGAAAGTAAATCCCTGTGATTACATGTAACCTTCAACTAAAAGTTTTAATGTCATTAATGTATACTGTGGTGGGTCAATTAAAAAAGGACGATACGTTTTCAAGCATTGCCATTAAAAAACGAAAGTGTTTGAATCCAGAACTCTGTATTTCACTAAATTATAGTTCCTTAATGCGACCCAGGGAAACTGTTTACAATCTGAAATTTGGACAATATTGTCTTTGTACTTTAGTGGTCATTCCTGCCAAAATGAGGTATAAGTTGGCTTGATAGAAATCAGAAGCATGGGTGACGTGGGAGTCGTTGCGCAGTTATTAACATAGCAATTCAAAGGTAACTAATTTTGTGGACGAATAGGATATAACAACAAGGAATCAACACAAACGAAACAGCTGGTGGGGTATCATAGATATGTTGACACCATGTGGCAATCTTAGTTAGGATAAGAACAGTTTTTAAAAACGCCAACTTTCCAAAGAATCTTAAATATAGGTTAGTATGTGCTTGATGCTGTGAGCAAAGGTTTCTCGGATAAAAAAAATTAATCCGAAAATGTAAATATAGTGCTCTCAGAAAGTACGCATCTTCTAGATAAAAATTTTATCTGTCGTGGCATTCTGTTGACAATTTGTTCAACATAATATGCATGGATGTCTTTCAGTCATCAGCCCATGCTCTATCCCATTAGTAACTTGCGAGCAAAAATTCTCTGTGTGGACAACGCGTGCATAGGTGCTTAATGGGTCCTTGCTCTATTTTATTTTGCTTACTAAATTAATTAGTCCAAATTGAAATAATGAACCTGCTAAGAAAAAAATACTTTGTTGATCATCTAGGCACAAATATTAAGAGTAAAGCTTCCAAATAACAAAGGAGCCGAAATCCAATAAATCTATTTTATCGAGCTTTATTTCATGCATAATTGTTGACATCACACAAATTTTGTATAATAAGATGGCGGTCGAATGCTTGATTTACTTCAAGCGGTTGAGCGTGAAAATTTCCAGTAGGTAACAGGGAGAAATAACCTTAAAGGCTACAATTAAAGCTAGGAAAAACTCATGAATTTGTTTTCAAACAGAGATAGTGAGATTTCTTTTGGATACTGGTTACAGAGATGACCTAATTCACTGTCCTGTCAAATTAGATTAAAATTAAGAGTTTTACGGTGCTTGTGGCATAAATCGATGCACTTTTTAAGCTTAGATCCAGTTCCTAATTAATATGCTTACTAGGTTCATTAGTTTGAATGAGATATTTATCAGAAAGGTAAGTACCTCAAATAGTAATTTCTCTGAAGGGATGGGTTTAGTTAAGATAAAAAAGCGTTTTCCGCAGCAATAGGCTTAAAACGCTCATGTTCACCTTTAATTTAAAGTTTTCTAGAGTAATTTGATGGTTCGAAAAAGCATGCATTTAGCAGATGGTCAGGCCGAATTTTTCCGTTTAATGACATTGTTTCGATTTATAAGCACCACGTAGTAACACAATCATATCAATCGAGACACTGTACCCATTTTACGGATGACTAAACATTCTTGTAGTTTATAAACGTGAAGCAGTTTTGAATGTATTCAACAATTGAGATCATATTTCCTTTACCCGGCAGAGTCGTAAAAATTAAAGAGGGCAAATTGTAGCCTCTTCCATAATATTTTACCAAAGCGCACTTTTTTGTGAAATTTACTTTTATAAAATAACAAATTATTTTTTCAAGTTAAGTTTTTACTAACGCAAAACAGTATAGTAAAGCATTCTTCCAGTGTTTAATTCTTTTATTTTACTAAGCCAAACTGTTTGGCGGCTCTTCGATGACTTTTCACAACTTTCCTGACTTTCTGAGCGTTTAGTTGGCTTTGCGTGTACATTACAAGGTTTGTTAGACAGTTTGCCTCGTTAAATATTTTGTACTGCTATTTAAAAGCATGGAAAATTTTTTTTACCTTGTTGGCTTTCCTATGACAACTCTGGTAACTCGTTTTGCTTCTGTGATTTTCAGTTATTTTTGCATACATTTATCTCACAGATGTGCTGATCTTGTAACCTTGTTATGAAGTTAAATTAGTCCATTCGTCTCATATTGGGATCGGGCCCTTTAATGTCTAGCCAAATTATTTGTTATCCGGGGATGCTTTTGTGCATCATTTAAGACAGCCGCACACTTGATTTTGTTTGATAATGTTTTTTTCATTCTATAACACGCAGTGTAGTGAATGTAAATAATTGGTGCGATTTTAAAATTCAGGTTCGTTAAACCGTCGAATGTGGGGCATTCACAATTTTTCATAGTCTATAGGTTTCTCCGTGATTAAGTTTCCTGTCAATGATATACCATTTCTGAATCTGGACCATTTGCTGTCGCTTTTCTGTCTTAATGATCTATTTCCACGCATTGTCGTGTTGACTGTGCAGTTGCGCCACTCGGTATTTTCCCCTGCCGAAACACCATCGTATATTCCAATAGTTGAATAAAAATCGTTTGTCACATTATTGACTGTAAAGCATAAGTCCCTCTGAAAGTAACTAATAAATCATAGTTTTTACGTGTTAATTTTGATTCTAATAACTTTTCCTCGCACTAGGATACAGAATGGGTAGCTTTACTTCGTAATTAATGCTAATATTTCTATACTCATCGCTTATCACCTAGACATTCTGATCTCAAATTAACGGATGGAAGCAGACCCCTCTACTCTTCTCGAGTGGCTAAGGTGTGGGGACCATGAGTTGCAATTTACTTCGTTGGAGTACCTTTGCAATATAATCCTTTTTTCCGAGGGAGGAAAGTTTCTTGAGCAATTCGGTATTTCCAAGTTTGTTGTCGAGATGCTTCGGATTTTCTCCGATGATATGGCTCCCGATAATCTGCTTGAGGTGGCTGTTCGAACTCTAACTTACACATTGGAGGCTTTCGGACCGCCAGCCATACAAGCGTTCAAACCACAGCACTACAGGGTCATCTCCATGCGTCTAGATACAGTTGATATGACCTCGACCCTGAGCAGTGAATTCGGTCAGCAAATTGTCAAGGTGAGTTGCGTTGGTTTGGCAGATTAAAGGGACTTGGCGATTTTCCGCGAAAATTGCTTGTCATTATTAGCAAAGTCGAGGGAATTGTAAGTCATTGTCTAATTCCCATCAACCTTTTTGGATTCTGCTCGTGCATTGTTGTCCGCTCCCTTTCCGTAGATACTTTGGTTAATTTTTGATTCCTGCGCGGTCTGAGGTCCATGGTGCGCAAGCAGCTACCAGTTTTGTTATTATTTGCTTCAACTTAAGATTGCTGTTTGTTGAATGTGCTCACATCTTGGCCTGCTTGCCACTAACCTATGAGTGGGGTCAACTGAAGTAGTTTTTTTCTGTTTTAGCTGCTGGATTTGGCAGCTGCTTCAAGACCACAAGTTGTGTACCGTGGTGGTGTGCTGACGAGCGTTCTGCGCTTTATCCAATTCTATTCCGAATGTGTCCACACGGACGTTCTTCGGGCAGGAATGGACCTCATCCGAACGCTGTGTCGTTACTGTGAACCGAGCGAACCCGATGTCAATGCCTGGATGGAGTCTCTGACGGCTTTGTTGGATCACAGAGACCACCAGATTGTCGTAAACAACGCTCTCCAGGCGCTAGCCTCAATTGTCAACCAATTTGCACGTGCTGGACAGGATCCAACGCCACTGGCGACGCCGAACCTCATCGCTCGCCTTTCGAGTCACCTCTACAAGGCAAGCAGCAATAGTTACGGTGGTGACATCCACGAATCTCCCTCATACTACAGACAGTCTGCTTTAGAACTGTCCAGTTCCCACCTCTCTGCGGCCGATTCTCTATGTAAGTGGGCTTTTAAAGCACCATTCTGTCATACTGCGAACCTACCTGTCTACTGTTTCTAAGTTCTTCCTTTTTGCCCTCGTTCTAGTTAATTTGGAGTCGCGAGGAGGTGCTGCCGCAGGCGCTGGCGGTTCGAACTCGGACCTAGCCCTAGTCAACTCCCTAACAAACCTCCTGCTAACGTTGTGCTGCAGTTCCACCAGTGCAACACGGTGCCTGTTGCAACCGGAGAACCGCCTTGCCTCGGCCCTGGCAACTATCCTCCTAAACTGGGGTGATGAAAACACCTTGGCTAGCGTTTATCGCCTTCTTGAGGTGATCATCCTCATTCTCGGTCCTGAGACTACCTGCCGGTGTTGCGAAAAGAAGTCTCGCACTAGGCGACTTCGAACTTCCAGCTGCCGCACGTCGACTGAACACGAAGGAAGTTCCGAGGCTGAAGCGTCCTTCGAGCGTCAGTCCAACTTCCGGGCTGCCGTGGAGGCCATCAGGAATCACGACATAGGTGTGCAACTTCAGGATAGTGTATATGCTTTGTTTAATCAACCCTAAAGGCATCAATCCGCTGTCAAAAACTCGATGATGCTCCTCGTAGAACTTGGTTCATCTCAAAGGTGCACAATTCTTTATTAAAGCTTACTTGGCTAGGCGTGAGGCCTAGTTTCAAGTGCCACATGCTGCCTGCTTGGCGACACACGTTGCACCATCTTACGGTCCCTTGGATTACATCATCTTGCAAAATTGCGTCGACACAATGTCGCAACCTATCGTGTGCTGCTTTTTACTGCTGCAATTAGCAATGCTTTCTTTTGAACATTACTTTGTAGCTTCAACGCATAGCAAACAACTAAAGGATGATATTTAGGACCAAATGGAATGCTGGCGATTCTCGCCAAGGTTTGAAACTTCATACTCTGTAGACATATCGTGTATATGTGTGTGTGTGTGTGTGCGCGTTTGTGCGTCTTGGCTTCGTTGCAATTTCTTGAAGTTTCGCGTTGCACGTGAGGTGCCTTTTTTTGTTGCGTCTTGCACAGCGCATCACGCGGAAATTTCTGCCTTGCGCGCCCACGCCTCTAGGGGAGGCTAAATTTGCTGCTTTCGATGGCTGATTCGGTGTAGTGGAGGGGTAAAATCAATCAGACATGGTCTTCTCAAGGTCCCTTGACTTATAAGTGCGTTTTTCGAGTTAATAATCACTCACGTAGGGCGTTCTGTGTTCAAATATTTGCCACTAGTTAGCTTAAATTAGGATCGGAGAGGAGGACGACGAGGGAGGCTCAATCGATTTGTTGGTTTCGCTGTAGGTCCCCCAGGATAGGAGTCGATTTGACGGCCTAAGATTCACAGGGGAAGATTTGTGTAAATAGGACCCTTCTAATCCGATAATTGTCCCCTGTGTGCGTGTGTGAATTCATGGCCGTTAGAATTTTTCGTGTCGCGTGAGATCGTGTTTTGACGCTAATACCCTTTTAGCATAGGCGTCGGGAGGTGGCAAATGCACACAACACCTCGACAACTTGGTTAAACAACATTTGTGGGCCTGTTATTGGCTCCACGCAAACCAATCTCTGTTGGCAACTAGGCCTTCCTCTGAAAGTGGCAGCAAAATCGATTGCTTAATCCAAATATTGCAAATTCTGACATGCACACGTTGTTTTTTCTTCTATTCCACCTATGCCATTCCACCAGACGCCCTCACCACTCTCCTCTCAGACGGACCAGGTCTTGATCTCAGCCACGTGGATAACCGGGGCCAGACCCTGTTGAACTGGGCGGCCTCCTTCGGCACCCCTGAAATGCTCGAATTGCTCTGCAGCCAGCCCGGCGTCGACCTTGAGGCCGGGGCAAGGACGTGTCTGGACTACGCGGCGGGATTCGGTCGTTTGGACATCTGTCAGGTCCTACTTCGCCACGGCGCCAACCCCAACGCTGTCAACGCCGAGGGCAAGCGCCCCATTGACAGGGCTCGACTCCTGAGCACTCCGGATGCGAATGCGATTGTAGACCTGCTCGAGGGTATGATCAAGCGCGTGTTTATGGCTGCCCCAAGTTTTTGTGGTTTGTCACGTCGCGACCAGCTAACGAACCCCGCCAGCGAAGAAATAAGTGCCGTTGTTTGCAGAAATGTCAAACAACCACACCTTTAATTTTAAAACCAAGCCGCACCCATTGCCTCCTTTAGTTATAAAATAAACTGTGATAATTAACTGAACCCTCAGGGGGTTTTGTGTTTCAACTCGACGAACACAAAGTTGTTGATGTCTGGCGTTCTTGTAAACCCGCGACACGCATCGCGGTAGTGCACTTGTTGTCAATTGGACTGTTGTTTGGAGTTTTGGGGTTGCATCATGTGCAGGAGGACCGTGTTTCGCGTAAATACTGCCATGCACGTGCCCAGATGTGGGCCGAAATGTCTGATTAACAGCACCTTGCGAATCCCCAGCAATAAGTTATCACTCTGGGTCGTCTTTGTAGCTTCAAGGGGATCTTGTTTCCCTCCTGCGCCATCTTGTCAGCTTATCTTGATGCCTTATAACCAAACACGCTAGGCGTTGCTTTTTACTTCCACACTCTCAGATCACATGAGCGGTGTTGGTGACGAGAGCGCTACCTCGCCTCAGTCAAACCCGAAGCCCGTTAGTCTGCAATCTACAGCTGAGGGTGTGTCACCGGGCAAAGCGGCTACTCTGCGCTGCCGGTCTGTTTCACACCGGGAGACGCAAGCACTGCCGTCGGATAACCTCTTCGTTTTCGCCTCTGAACTCCTCCCCGTCTTGATCACTGCCTTCGAGAATTCTCAGTCTGAATCCGTCAAGTAAGCGGCCCCCAAGTAGCCCTAACCGTCTCATTGGACACCTGCTGCGCAGATTTTGCCACCAATTCCTTGTTTTCTGAACCTCATGGACGTGGATAGAGCCTGCTATTTTGTTCCAACGCTTTGTTCTGTAACAATGTGTTATATATCTCTCTCTCTCTATCTTTAAGGTACCAAACAGTATTGATACTTGTGCAATTAGTTGGCAACCTAACTTCCTGCAGCTTGCAGACCATCAGTGAGTTTCGTCGCGATGGTATCAGCCTCAGTTTTCGTCTCTCTGAGATGATCTACACTGCGCTTGCGGAGGTACGTGATTTCCTCTCGCTCTGGTGAGTTGTAGTCCCCACCACCACATCCACCTGATTGTGTTGTTCGCCACATAGGAGTCGGAAAACACCATGCTGTGTGCCGTGGAGCTGTGCCAACAGTTGCTAGCGAAACTTCGCGCCACCTACCTGCCCCTCTTTTACCGGACTGGCGTCGTGGCACTCGTTAAGTCGATTCACTCCCTCCTCCAACACCACACCGATCCCACCACCTCAGGCGGCGAGGAGAACGAACAGATGTTTAGCTACGTAGAGGATGAGGCTGGTGACGATGCCGGCGAGGACGAACACGACGACTCTCGATCTTCTGGTTCGTCTTACCAGGAAGACGAAGCTGAGGAGCAGTACGAAGGTGAAGCAGATGAAGGTGTCGATGGTAATCGGGCAGAAACGGGGGACCAGGAAGGCAATTGCCCCGAATCGGTGAGTTTTGCGGCGTAAAATATCGGCACTCGTGCTGCTCATTGGCTAGCTGAACGAGTCAGCCAATCACTGTTAGTCGGTTTTGCCGCTGTTAAACCCATGCATTTGTATCAGGAACAAGCAGAGGGTAAAGAGGACACCGAAGACGCCAATCAATCAGTAAGACAAAAAACGCGACTGTTTTCTCACTGCCAAACGCGTCTCTAACCTAAAGCTGGCACTTTTTTGAACCTTACGTCTAACGCTTTTTTCTCCCGTGATAATGTCTCACTTTACAGTTCACGCATTTCATTGTTGTCTATTGTATATTCGCAGGAGGACAAACCGTCAACTGAGGACAAGGACGAAACGGTAAGAAAAATTACCCCCCCCCCTACTCCCATGTTTTGTGAGCTGTGCATCGAAGCCTTGATTGTGACGGGTTTCTTAGCCAAACTATTCCACGCTAATTATCGTGCCATCTGGCTCATTTCAGGGGTCCACGAAGGATCCAGACAAAGACGACGACAACGTAAGCTGGTTGGGTGTGCCCTTTCGCTAGTCCTAACCCTTCCACCCCACACCCCACACACCCACACTAGTTTCTTGACACACGTAGGTATTCATCCTCATGATATCCCACGAAATCGTCGGTTCCACAAGTTGTAGCCATCCATTTTTGTGGTCGAACGGAGCGCTCATGCGGTTTCTCGGTAAAATTCAGTGGAACCACGTGACGTCCTAGTGTAGGGGCGATTGTCTTGTAGTTAATTAGCATGCAAGGTTTAAGCACTTTTCAACTGCAACAAAATGTGAGCTATACATTACCGTCTTACAACCCCGTTTACACCTGACACCCATAGCCTGCAGGAATGCGAATTTGCCCAGCCTAATGCAGTGTTTTGATTAAACTCAGTTGAAGGTATAGGTTGAGCATTGTGGGTTATTAGCCAAGTTTGTAAGCCGATGGTATTCTGCCGCGCGATTCCAAACTTTCGCTTGAGTTCGTGAAACATGGTGCTAGTTTTGGGATCTACCAACTCAACCACATATTGGGGCTCACACTTACGTGCTTAATCTGGCTTGGTCTTAACATCGCTTCTAGTGCTAACACCTAACACCCTTTTACTCCTGCGTGACTCGACTGGAACCGAGCCCTACCTATTTCCAAATGAATGAAACTAACCTTCCTCCCGAATGCCTTATTGCAGGAGGTGGTACCTCTGCCGAGTGCGCGACTCGAGATATGGCAGGACTGGGGCATCCTCACTTTCGGCAATCTCCTCTTCATCTACACAGAATACGCCTCAGTTCAGCTGGACATAAACTGCGCCAACAATGCCCTGCGTGGATTCATCGTGGTGGGGGGCAAGAACGATGCCACGCCGCTTGAAATCCAACCCAACTCGGAGTTGGTTGAGCGACCGGGTCAGTTGTCTGTCGACGCTGAAACGGGTAGTCCACGATTCCCTGGTTGATGTTACATCCGCATGATTTTCTTTTGTGGTTTTTAGGTATGCGCAATGAGGTGCTTCGGTTGATCAGCCAGATCTACAAGTGCTTTGGACTAACTAACAGCAACGGGCTTCTACGAACTTGGCCCTACATGTACCTCAGTGACCATCCCAAATTCGCCAAACCGCGTTGCCGGTCGGCGTGTAGAAGGCGAAGTCCTGCACACGTTCGCCCCCGTCATTCCTCTCAGCCCGCTTCCCGCACCTACCGACTCATAGGCGACGATCTCCATGGCGACGTTGTCCTCGAACCCACGCCGGCCTTCCACCAACCCAGGGCAATGCGGGCCGGCAATCTGCTGTTGGATTTCGTGCAATCAAAGAGCGATATGTACTTCCTGCGTGTGCGACCCTCTGGTTCGAGCGACGAGGCTCTTCTATTCTCGGCCTGTTCCTGCGAGGGCTTCATTTTGGCTACGGCTTATCCCAGTGTCACTGAAGCAGTCAATGCGAGGCTCGGCTGTGGCAAGAGTACTCGGCCGCGCTTAACTAGACAGACCTCCCGCAGGTTCTCTCGCCAGAGTCTCAAATCCCTTGTCGACAACGCCGACAACGACGACGACAACGAATCATCTGTCGTCATTATGGATGGCAGGATATGGGATATTCAGTGTCGCAGCGGTTGGCTCAACAAGAAATTGTTCAAAGAGGACATTGATGCGTGAGCACATTCCCTTGTACTAAACATGTTTAGATCACTCAAAATGCCAGAATACACTGCAGTTGTGTCTGTCATGACCAATACCATTACGTAGCCACTGCCTTCTTTCCAATATACAGTATTTTTACGCTTCGTTTTCATAGTCTGTCATCGAAGAATGAGTGTAGGCGGCTTCTGCGTTTCCACATCCACCACCTCGCGCAGCGGCTGCTAACACGTGACTTCGTTGCCTCGCCGTCACAGTCGCTGGACTCCCTCAGGTCGGCCCCTCCCCTCACCCCACTAGCTGTCCCCGCGTCCCCGCAAACTGTCAGTCTCTTGTCCGCCGACACCACATCCCTCCTCGGTGGTCTCATGCAACTCGCCGCGGACATCACCGCTCTGACGGAGCTGAAATCGGCCAAAGTGGACGACGTCGTGCGTTCGTTAACGAGTTCTTTCCAGGCCCTCTCGATGATGCTTGGTTCTGGCGAGGAATCGGTCACGCCCTACGAACTTTCTGCCAGTGGTCTCATTTCAGCATTGCTACTATGCCTGTCGCCTTGTAAGGCCGCTGACTGGCGTGGTGTGGTGAGTGCGACTGATTCCCGATTATCGATTATTATTAATAGAAGTGCTGAATTTCGATTGGAGTAGGGGAGTCGTCAAAATCTACATACGATGAGATGAGGCTCTATCATCAAATATTGAATTTTTGCGCGTAGATCGATTCAGACGACGTCTTGACTCACCTCATCTTCCTTCGCCGACGTCGTCAGGCCTTCCTTCACGTCTTCAAAAGCACCATGACTCTGCCAGTCCTTACTCGCTGCCTCGTTCGTGCCCTGGACCAAAGCGAGCACCTGCCCCTCCACCTGTTTGAGTTCATTCCCTACCGCTCGACATCGAGGCGACTGCACCAGTCAGGAGTTGATGCCATGGCCTCAGAGAAGGCCCCCGCTTCCATTGCGCCTCCATTATCGTGTCCCCCGAACACCGGTTCCGCCGCGCCCGTATTCACCTTCTCGTGCGAGCAACCGACCACCGAGTGTCCAGTGGCCCTCCCGCTTGGCATCCTCGCCTCTCCGCACCTTCTCCCGCTTGATCAGCACACCAAACTCACAGCAGGGGGGATTCGTGGACTCGTGGACTTTAGGGTGAACCGCCTCCTGGGTGCGTGGCTCCCCTCCCTGGCCTTCTCCATGTGCGTAGGTTGTGGCGGGATGCACCAGCTTCGGCAGAGCTGCCCGATCGTCGTCAAACGTCAGCGCGGTGTCGAGAATGAGTTGCAGGTCGACGATGAGTGTCTTTACCTCCAGACCACTCTACCCAATGGGCTTGCCCTAGTGATGACAACCTGGTGCGGACGATATCGAGACCGAATTAAACTGTCCGTCGTAAAAGACTGGTGCGTGTGTGGGTAGTTTTCCGTTAAACGGAGCTCTGATCTTGTGTCTGCTCATTGTTTTACGCTCAATCTCGACGTTTGCAGGCTGCTGTTAATCTAGCACGATTACCACAGTTGTGTTAGCTCACGGAACGGGAAGATTGTATTTCTTTTACTTGGTTATATCAGATTTGTTCGTCGAGTCTATAATTATATTTAAGATAGACATAGCTTGGAGGTATTTTGTGGTTGTGAAAGGATGGGGGGCTTGATTTCAAAACACTTAACGACAAGTCGACGTGAGTTACGTAACCCCTCGAAATGGCAGAGTTTGCAGATGGCAAGCTGTAAACAGCACATTCGATGGCACTGCATTTTGTACGAATTCCAGCATGGCAATGACGCTCTTAAAGCACGAGAATCTATTTGTGGTGTTCTTGCTGCCCAAGCTGTGTCTTATGAAATGCGTGACTTTAACTGCTTGCTTACCGGCAACAAGCAGTGAATGGACTCCTTGTGGAAAAGTGTGACGGGTGATGAAAAGTAGATTTTGTGTAACGGGAATTCCAATTGTAAAAGGGTTTCGTGAGTTGATCTCGAGCAGTCCACTACATCAACGCCGATACAGGCCATCCACTTGAAAAAAGGTATCCGTATCTATGTTTCTGGTGGCACATGAAGGGTGTACTTGACCACGACCTCCTGAAAACTGGTCGTCAGACCGTGACTGCGGAAAGCCTCAGCTGATAGTTGAACAAACTGACCGAAGAGGCATTGAGTTTAGAAAAGGCCATTCACTGAGCAGGCACTTCACGTTGTTCGCGTGACTCAGTGGACCCTCTTGCACTCGCCGAATATTCACTAGACTTGGTTCCCCTTCCAACTACCATTTGTTGCGGTCAATGCAGCAGCAGCAGCAGCACGCCTTAGTGGATAAGCGATGGACGATGTGCGTAAATTCTTCGATGTCTCCATTGCCTCGTAGCCTGCACGAGTCATTCGCGACGGCGTTCATACATCACCTCAGACAGATGGCGCAAAATCGTAGAATACGATTGTAAATCCTAAGTCAAGCACGCAATACTTAGTGTGCATTTATTGTTCCCACTAAACAGTTTTACGCCTGTTGTCTAGGTCCCACCTTTGTCGAACCTCGATGGCCTTCTTTGAGGAGTTCGCTGCGCACCCCAACCACTCAGTTTGTCTCCTCGCGGGATCCTTTGAAATCCCTCCGGAGATCCCCGGTCGGTCGTACTTGGCATTGAGCCTTTTCGACTGGCTGGGAACCAACGGAGGCACCATGTTGAGCAAATGGGTCAATCCAGCCTCGATACACCTCGTCTCAATGGCCTCCTTCAAGGCCAACAGTGCCAGCGTGTACCCCGCGCCAATGGGCTTCATCGGTCAAACCTACCCACCGAGACGACGCAAAAACAGGAAACGGTTCAACTTCAAGGAAGAGGAGTGTGACAGTCACTTGTTGAATGGGGAACAGGTTGGCGCGAGGTTCACCGTCGATTTGGGCCTCCAACTCGTCCCCACGGCCTACCGCTTGGCGTCTCTGCGACGCGAGGGGAAGGGGCCTGTTGTGAGAAATTGGTGTCTCCAGGTGCGTTTCCCAGTGTGGTCTGAATCTCCAACAGGCTCGGGAGTGGAGTATTTAGTCGACGTCTTTCCAACTTTAGGCTTCAAATGACCGAAAACGCTGGACAACCCTCTCCCTTCACCGGAACGACAATCGTTTGAACGAGAGTGTTGTCACTATACCCCTGAACCCGCGTGACTTCAGGCTGTGGTCTGTGCCGTTGGCCGGCAATATGCACACGTCAGTGTCGACAAGGCCCCTACCAAAGTCCTCTGGCGGTGACGCCAACGATCCGCTTGATCTCTCCACAGCTTCCACACAGACTCCGCTTGACTCCCATCGGGAGGAAGGTGAAGAACAACACAAAAGCGAGTCGAGTTGGCGCCTCTTCCGCATAATGGATCTGACGCCTCTGGAGAAACAGGGCAACTGCAGGCTACTTGTCCGGGGTTTCGATCTCTTCGGCGTCGTCGTCACGGTTCATGATAAGGTGAGGCTCGAGTTTGCTGTTGAATCGCCTAACAACGCGATCGACCTCTGCGTTCGATTGCCAGTCCACGTCTCCACTCGAATACGCGGTGAAATCAGCGTACATTGTGTGCTAATTTGGTTATGATTCTTCTTCTTCTTAGCTTCTGCCAGCACAATCGTTGTCCTGTCTTCCCTCACATTCGCCGCGATCTAAGCATGCCATCAGAAGTCCCGATCCGGCGGCGGCGGCTGCTGCTGGCACGAGCGGTGATGGCAGAAACGACAATCCGCCTTCGACCTCCGGCGCGCACAGTCAGCCTGCGGTCGACCCCAACGTTGTCCCCTCACCCACAGCGTCAGCAAACAACGAGGTCCAGACACAAGGAACTGAGTTGTCGACCGCAGGAGACGACCGTAATTCGGTTTCGGTCGATCCGCTTCCAGCCTATGTGTCGTCTTCCAACACAGGGGTAGGTGTCTCCGACTCCTACTAAGCCGTTGTCATCGTTAGAAGTATTGCAGTTCAATTGTGTGAGGTTGTAGCCATCATTTGTTGAAACTGAACTTCTTAGCTGAACATAAGGCTCTCCGGAAGCATTTCAGGCTACACGTCATGCTGATGAATCTGGCCAGCTTGATGCGATTCGGTTTTCGATGTGTCCTGTGCTGGTTCACCACCTGCCAGCACCATGAACGTTTCTGATTGGTTGGTGAATCGTTTGGCTAATTGGTCGATTTAATTGGGTTTGCAATGCATGCTGCAACTACTGCCACGTTGTACTTTTCGAATGTTGAACCTAAATATCGTGATTCTAAAGCACTTGAGGCCATTTTAAGTGATCTACATCTGATGTGTGTGCGGTACATTGGCCAGCATGCCGTTAGATCCACCTGTTACTTTGATGTGATGTTCTTGTCCTAGCTCTCGCAGCTTTTTTGGTCTTGTATACAATCTTACGTGTAGATGTTAGCCCCTTTTATCTCTACTTATGAGAAATTGAGTAATATGTCACGTTAATAGCTTTTACTGTTGTCTCGGTTGTAGGATTGCACGGCCACAGTGGACATACCCGAGGTGACTGCGAGCAATTCCTGTAGCCTCCAGCATTCAACAATGCCACCGAAAGGCAAGTTTTAAGTCTACCATTAAATCATACACGTCCATATCTGGTAATAGTAATTTTCCCCATTGCAGATGCTAACGAACATTCGCCAACTCGTTCGTGTGCAAACGAATCTGCCGCTTGCGAAGCCTTACCAGAGGTAGGAACTCACCTCGTTGCTGTAATCATTGATCACCGTAGTTGGATCTGTCAGTGTAACTTCCGTTTCCATGTTTACTCTTGCGATGTGATTGTTTTGCAGGTGGCAGGTGAAGTGGACGCGGAGGCGCCAGGCGACGCCGCAGTGCTCGAATTTGCTGGAGCCCTCGAAGCCCTTGTCGAGTCGAACGCCGCTGAAGTCGTGGTTGAGTCTACCGTCGAGGGTCGCGCACACACCGAGTCTGTCAGATCAAACCGCACTGACACCTTCTCCCTCGGCGACCTGTTTGAGGTCCAATTCGCAGATGTACACTCCTCCGACGAGTTCCACTCCTTGAAGGATTTCCAAACCGCAGAGGTACCTGTAAGACCCGCTTGTACTCGACGTGGCTTCGACCTGGTGTCGTTGAACTCCCATTCTTGTGTTTAGGGTGATGCACCTCCGGTCAACGAAGATGACGACGAGGACGACGACGAATCGGTCTTCAAACCGGCTCTCGAAGATGCTGGCGCCTCCTCCAGTTCAACCGAAACTCAATCCTCCACTGCTACCGCATCTCCTTCAGCACTCGAAGCTTATGTATGCCTTCCTTCACTCGCTACATTAATCATGGCTACTTACCGAGACAAGTAGCATCCTATGTAGACTGTGATTTGCGCATTTTGATTGCAGCTCCGTCAAGACGCCGGCGATGAGGATACTCGAACCGCCGAGGCTCTCATCACAGACCGCATGAAGGAGCTGCTCAACAGCTGGGGCTCTCGGCTTGAGGATCCGGGCTATGCCAACCACGAGACCTTCCGACTTACGCCCGGTCTTATCCCCGTGTTCGACCCGAACGGCCGCAATGCCAACGCCTCCTCCGAGTACGATCTCCTCATTAAGCCCAACTCGACTTCACTGCCTCCTCACTGTCGCAGAGACAAACGTATGTGCTCGTTGTTGCGTGCAATTGGTTACTGATATCGATTTCTTGGTAAGGCGATCCAATCAGTGCTATTGGGCCATGTGATTCAAACATCAACCTGTAGGATGGTCTAGTTTGGATTGTTAAGGTCCAAGGCTTGTGTGGGAATGAGTGGATGCACGCGCAACTCACTCAAATTTGACTAACTTTTTTTTGTAGGCGACTTCGATATACACCTCGAACTGTTCGCCCGCTTGCAGGATGGCACGCCGGTGGCGTCCGTGGTTATCGACGACGACAATGCACCCATTTACAAGTACCTACTGGTAAGCACTGTCCCCCTCCCCCCGGGTTGATGTTCATTGGGCTGTTCGATTGTTTGTATAGTCTACACCGTTACTCTAAGTGGGTGCTTTAGGTAGACCTCTTCTTTAAGCTTAGATCATTTTGACCCCCCTCATGGCATGGTTCTGCTTGTATTGCGTTGCAGGAATTAGCCGAAAAAGCGGTGTACGCGGATACCTACGATCCAAATGAAGCCTCAGATCCACCCCACGTGAAGGTCACCATCGAGTACAGTTTCCGCAAAGAAAGTCCCTCTCAACCCAATCAGCTTGTAAGTGGACTTTGTGTGTTTAAGTGTGTTCTGCGATGCCAATAACTGTCAACTAGCATTGTTGAGCTTGTTTTTTTTCTGCCTATTCTTGTGAAAAGTCTGCATTTGTTGGTGTTTCTATGTTTGCAGCAAACCGGTGACTCTCTAGCGCTACTGACGCCACGCGACATCCGCCTTATTCGTTCAACAGAGGATCAACTTCGCGACATCCTTGGCATTCAGACACAGAAGCAAAGCACAGTTGAGAGGACGGAGGAACTCCTGCAACTTCTGCAGACAATCGCCCAACTCACTGACATCAGCAACCCCTTCCCCAACGTGCCCCTTCAAACCTCCGAAGCCCCTGAACCGTCGTCGCCGTCGTCCTCAGGCGTATTATTCACTGCCGGAGATTACGACGAGCCGACGGAGATCCAGCCGCCAGTGAGTATGCTGTCGCCCGACGACTTTGTCTCGCGCAGTCTCACTCGCAAGGTGCTTCGACAGGTGATGGACGCGTTGTCGGTGGCTGCGGGTCCCACACTACCCGACTGGTGCTTGAATTTGCCAAAGCGCGTGACCCCCTTGTTCCCCTTTGAGGTTAGGCATCGCCTCTTTAGGGCTTGCGCGTTCGGGCCTGCGAGGTTAGTTGACTTGCCTTCTGTGGAGGTGTTGGGATTTGCAACAGCCGCACTTGTGGTTCACACGCCAACCTCTGATCCACTACACTTCTCCCTATAGATCGATAATGTGGCTCCAGAATCACGCTAGACCCGTGGAGAACCAAAATGACACCTCGGAGGACCATAGGATGACGACAACGGTGAGCAGCCACTTGCAGCGAACGGAGGCCTCTCGATTGGCCGCAGTTTTCTCCACATACTTCAAAGGTGATGGCGGCGGCGGCGGCGGAAGTCGACTTCACCGCCTCTCGACGTCGTCTGGCAGGCAGCGTATCACCTCTACTTCCTCCACGTCAACAAATATTGGACTCTCTCGCCTTTCCACGACTGCAGACGCCAACATCACCCTAGACCGTATCTACCTAAGCAGATACTACTGTGGTTGCTTGCCGATTGAGGTAAATCTATCCCTCTTCTCATCTCTGAGACTTTTTTTTATGGGCCGCGGGTTTGCGTTGAGCGTGTGGCTGCACCTCCTGTCTGGTCATGAAGCCTGCCATCTAGGGGTTTAATCTCTTGGACCGAATTCTTCTCCTCTTTAGATTGGTCGTCTCCACAGGGAGTTCGTGCGCATTCCACGCGGTGACTCGGTTGACCCCGAGGAGTACGGCTTTTGGGCGTGGGCGGAGCGTGTCATGGACGAACACGCCGAGCGGAAGTCCGAGCTGGAGATCCAATTCATCGGTAGGTCCATTTCACGAAGCCCCTCATCCGTCTTGCCTTTCCACTCACTGGTTTGTATGGGCAATTTGCAGGCGAGGAGGGAACTGGCATTGGCCCTACCTTGGAGTTCTTCTCCCTGCTAGCCTTGGAGTTGCGCCTGAAGTCCGCGCAGATGTGGTTGAGCGACGAGGAGTTGCGACCCACCGAGCCTCAGGAAGATCGCTTCGTGGACGAGGTCGACGAGAACCAGCCTTCGACGTCGATGCATGTGCCGCCCCCCAAACGTCCCCGACTGACTCCACCCTCACCCTACGTCAACGCCTCCCAGGGCCTTTTCCCGACGCCGTACCCGCGCAACATGGTGCCTCTGGCGGTCCTTCGTCGCTTCTACATCATGGGCATCGCCGTTGCCAAGTGCCTGCAGGTTTGTCTTAAATTTTGGCATCGACTTCACTCGATTAACTGATGGAATGCGAGATGAAATTGGGTGGAAGCTCCGACATGTTTGTGATCTTAAAGCGCGTTCTTTGATGTTCATTAAATGCGAAATATTGACCTTCAACGACTACGGCAGCCGGTTTCATGGAAGAGGGTAAGCACAGGCGCCCTTTTGCCTTTCAGGACAACCGTCTAATAGACTTGCCGCTCTCGAAACCCTTCACCAAGTTGATCTCCCGCTACGGCAGTATTCGGCGGATCGGGAACACAGAGGGTTCGCAGCTGGAGGTGGAATTTGCCAGGCTTGCTCACACCGAGGCATCGCAGGAGCGAATCGATCTCTCCGCGGATCCGCTCCTATTCGCTGAACACACCAAGGGCAGTCGCCATTGGCTCACCGGTCTCCTCGACTTCAACGACTTCGCTCTTCTCCAACCGGAGCGAGCGAGGCTGTTCAGGCAGTTTAGCGACCTCCTTAAGCGCTTCCAACGCATTCGCGAGACCTGTCCGCCTGACGATCAGTTTCTCAAGCAGCGTATGGATAACGCGGCCATAGAAGTGCTTGGTTGCACGGTGGACGATCTTTGCATTGATATGGAATTCGTGCCTCAACATTCGGTAAGTTGATAACTCTTTTCTTATTTAAACACGTAGTCATCATTGTCATCAACTCCGTGATTTGGGTATTCTGCTTCTCTCCCTCCAGTCACCTGGAACGACAGTGAAATTACTCGATGTCTACTCGTGGGAGTCGCCTGATAGCGTGGTCGATGATGATGATCATGTCCAGGAGTCCGTTTCGAATGACAATTTAGTTGTGTACATACGCAGGACGCTGGAGTATTGTCTCGATAAGGGTATTCGGGCTCAAATGGACGCATTTAGGGGTGAGCGCTTCATCATACATCCTTTGTGGTAGTCAAATCCGTCTCAAATAATCACTCTCCTTCCAACTTTTTTTTCCAGCCGGCTTCGAACGCGTTTTCAACATGGACTGGTTGGCATTGTTCTCCAGCCACGAGGTCGGTCGCCTCATCAGCGGTGACTCCGGAGTCACGTGGAGCCGAGAGGACCTACTCGCGTACACGGTGCCCTGCCTCGGCTACACCAAGACCTCCACCACCTTCCTCCTGCTGGTTGACGTTCTGAACGTCTTCGACGCCGACGAGCGACGTGATTTCCTTCGTTTCACCACCGGGTGCTCCAGCCTGCCCCCGGGTGGTTTGCGCAGCCTCAACCCGCGACTGCGAGTGGTGCGCAAGGACGCGAGTGAGGGACCCTATCCCAGCGTGAACACCTGCGTCCACTACCTGAAACTGCCGGAGTACGGCGGTGCTGAAGAACTGCGTCATTACCTGCTCGCAGCTATGCGGGAGATGGGATTTTATCTCAATTGAATGCAACTCACTCACTCACCCACTCCCACCCACCCATCCACCCACACCAGTGAATGGGCATATCCTTCGGTCTTTCACGTTTACATCTTGAATAGAGACGCCGCGCGTGTACTTTTGTAAATCATCCCGCGCCTAACCCCACCATTTTGTAGCACAACTTGCATTACATCGCATGTTTGTCGTTTTGATATTTGCCCAGCGCAGACTCCTGTGATAGATGGATTTTCAGATGAGGCCGGTTAGCATCCTGTCGTAGTCGTTGTGGTGCACCGTTTGCAGACAACGCGAATGGCTGATTACTTGTCCCAGATTATACTCGTCGGGGTTTCTCTTAAACAAGTGATTGGCAAAATCGTTTTCGGTAGAATTCATGGAGGGCTCCATTAAAGTCGCTTGATGGTTATCTACTCAAGCGAGACAAGTGAACAGAAGCACTAGGTCTCACGTGCGCTAAAGTCAATATAATTGTTTTGTGCGCGTTTGGGGTTTAAAATACCTCGTACGAAGAACACGTACACGTTTGATGCGGCTAATTCTTCGCTTGTAACACACGAGTTTGTGCACAATTTGTTAAGTTTAAACCCGAATACTCAAGTCTTCACTTTGTGATCTGCACGTTCTTCCCAGTCGCTTATCTGCTGCCTTAAAGACTACTGATTCAGTACGAACCAAACGACAGGGTCATTTGTCTGCAAGTCAGGCCCCTGGGTGTCTAGATCTAGCCTTCCACAGTTACCTCGGATGATCCAGTAGTGGCGTTCACCAAATACTCTATTGTGGGCCCCAGCATGTGGTCTAGAACCACACCGGGGCCACGGAATTAACCCTGGCCCGATTACGTTACTCTAATAACCGCGATTACGAAATAGATCGGAGAGGACGTGGACACAACCGTTTACTTGAGAGCTCAACCACGTTGGTGTCGTGTGTGGGGTTTGCGCGTGTGTATTTATACTTCGGATGTGTGAGTCATACATGCGCTAACATCGAGACCTAGGTGTGAGGATAATCCAAGGTGAATATCGGATTGAAAGAAAGGGGAGTTGAGGATCCGCGTGGCTGGCGACATGCTGCGAAAAAGGGGAACCCTGTATCGGAGGTGGATCGATCGGATCAAGGGGTGTGAATAAACACGATTCACAACAACTCAAATGCATTGCTCCATTCAAACACGTCTGTACACATACCTCCCTTGTCCCTCCAGCAACGTACCGCATAATTAATTTGCTAGTTCAAAGAAATATTGATTGGCACCTCCTACTCCTCATGTCTCTCCTGTCTCCAAACCACCCGTGAATTATCTGTACACACGTCAATTCGGAATATGCTAGTCTTATGTATATCCGCGTAGTTTGAGCCAGTACAAATGATGACCTTGGTCTGCTCGGATCCTTACTAATCCAATATAGAGAACGTCTGAACGTATTAGTAAGGGAATTGCAGGAAATTTCTCGACGACATGGACGTTTTACTCATTTCGATCTCATGCTTCCAAGAATTCGAGCCTGACTAACCACGGAATCCGAGGGTGGTGAATTGCGGTCTGTACTTACTCGAATGCTCGTATTCGAGCACAGTAGTAAATCGATGCTTTTACAGCCTTTAAGATGTTCCAGTTTCTCATAGGTAGCCCTCATTCTAGATTCCACTGAATGCTTTCGATTTCTTATCACTGGAGGTGTACATTTAAGAAACTAAATTTCAAAAAGACAAATACTAATCTATAGAAGTCAGTAACAATGCAAATTAGCTGAATGTGGAAAATTTGCTATGTAATTTTGGAGTTGCCATGGTGATCCACAAAAAAGGTGCGTCACCATTTGTAGCGTTTAACTCAGCCAAAGCCATGCTGGTCTGGGAGTTAATTCAGCTCTTTGTTAGTGCACGGACAAAGACATCACCGCATGGAGATAGTTTTTAATGTATTGGCACGGATTTCGGTTTAAAATGTGCATATGCGCGATTACGCGTTCAGAAGTTGACCTTGGCCGCTTTGGAGATGAGCCAATGAAATGAGGGCGGGTGATATAAAGTGGTGTGTACTGTCACAAAGCGAAAGCTTAAACAGCACTCACGTTAGCACTTGACAAGTGATCTGATTCCACTGGCTGCCTCTTAAAATAGTCATAAATCGATAGTAGGCCACATGCAACTCACTTACAGTCAAGTTTTCACTGTCTTTCAATCAGTCGCGCTCAGATTTTATTCACCGCCAACCATGAACATACATAACTTTGGTTTTTTAAATTCAGTTTTAAATTTTGTTGCGCAAACCTATTGCTAACGCATGATTTGCGGCTCCTGCTGCACTGTGCATGCTGGAACGTCAGCATAAGCGTAAAATAAAAGCATCAAACAAGAATCAATACTATTTGCAGTAAGTGACATTTAATATTTAAATTAATCGTCTTACCACTTAGCCAGGCTTCGAGGTTCAGTGTGGAATGTACCTGGACGCCGAGATAATACTCAAGTTAAACAGTTTGCTTGGGTAACGCAACTACTTCGAGGTTTCTCTCTGTGGTTACGCAATATGATGGTAGCCGAACGCACAGACACGATTTGAGCACGCATGAGCGATGGTTCTGAGGACAGATGCTGTTGCTATGGCGCCCAGGCTGTGCCGTAACGCGTAGTCGCGCATGCACACACACACTCACCCAGCTTGCTGTTAGAGTGAATCGACGTGAGCGTGCAGAAGTGAGCATGCAATTCGGCCAAAGCAAGAGGACCTCCGAGCTGAAGGAGATCGACCCCTTCACGCAGGCTTTCAACGAAATCGACACCAACGGCGACGGTGTCATCACGAAGGCAGACTTGGAGGAATTTGTGCGGAGGAACGATCTTGGCGATGACTTGCTTGTGAAGGTGAATTCTTTTTAACCAAAGAATGTATATGCACTTGCGAAATCTCAGATTTGGCATTGCCAGACCATCGCTCTCATAATTGACAATGATGGCGCCCCATTTTACGTAACTGTGTCCAGTTGCCTCGGGGTAGACTTGCTTAATTCACAATCGGATCCCATTTTGAGTCTGTTCTGTGCTAACAACCCATAATGAAAAGATCCGTCTTTTTCAATGAAATCCAAGTAAGAAGGCTTCATTTCAAGGCAATATGACTACTTCTGGCACAGACAGTGTTGGATACTCGTTTAAGGCGTCTCAAATCGCTTAACCAACTGTTTTAAAGCGATTTACAAAACGTTTGAATCATTGGAACCGTGGTTTGATACTGAAGAGCAGAACTCTAATGCGAATTTGTAACTCGACTATCTCAGATGTGACAAACACCGTGGTTTCCGTGCTTTTCGACTTTACAGTTTCCAATGCTACTTAAGGCCTTTTCCACGGTTACACTTAATTAGTGCTTAGCAATGTTCGATATGTGCTGCAGTACTGCTGATGTCTTTAATTGAATACCACGAACACCTAGACACCAAAACTGATATGGATAGTGAGCTGATGTTTCTCCAGCTACGATCTTCTACTACTAGAGTTAGTCTCACTAAAAAAAAAAATCACAACTGGTTTTGGTCTTATTTAAAATGATCCATCCTAATTGGATTCCCATTGTCTTTTAGCTGTTTTTAGAACCATTCTACAGCACTAATTGTTGGGAAATGGAGCGATTATGAAAAGCTTTAAAAAAAGCATTTAACTAAATGACATTTAAGCAGCTAAGATTTGTTTAGAATTGTCTACACGAAGCACCGTCAAATCGTTCCTGCACAGTCGCCTAAATACCAATTACAACGAAGTTAAAATTCATTTCATTAATGTAATAAAAATAATGTCAACTGGGCCATTTTCCATTGCCAAATAAAAGCATTCTGAACTTATCTCAGCATTTTATGTTCGATTTTAGCTTCAAGCAGGTAAAAATGTAGCTGACTTTTTTTACAAATACCAAAATGCTAAGAATGAAGTCTCAACAATCCCGCACATTGGAGGTAATTTTCGAGAATTAGCTAACTCCAATTTACAAAATATTTCGTGTTATTAAACCTAATGTCAGTTTGTATTCATGTTCAGCGGTATCAACCGGTTTTAACGTTTCTAATTCCCACAGGTAAGTCAGCAAAGATACGCCGGGTGCCTAAAAAGCGTGAAATTTACTGAAAATCAGTGCAATTGCCGTCTTTTCGTGATTTAAATGCTGAAACGAGGCAGGTTTTTCCTTAGCAAATGCGTTCAAACGAGGCGTAGTCTCGTAAATATTTCGCGGCCTTATTAATATTCCAATGTGGTGAATGCACTTTAGTGATAAATATGAGTTGTCTACATACTGTCGAATCGATGCGCCTATTCAGGAGCCAAATTTAGCATTTAGTTTAGAAATCCACCTGTTGCATGCCAAAAACATTGCTTTCAGACACGCAATTCATACGACCGAATTGGTTTCTTATACTGTCATGAAACACCGTACGTTGCAATCCCTTACATGAGACATGCATTTCTAGGAGACAAGGGATTCCTCGTGCAAGATTCGAAGTAGCAAATCAAGATCCTCGCCAAGACTATCTAAAATAGAAACCTTTTTTTAAGGGGGGTTCAATTTTCCCAATAAGAATTGAACCAAGTGACCTATATCAGTGTTGCTGCCAATGTAGGCTCCCGTTGATGTTATTTTTGCAAGATTGTCGCGTCTAGTGTGGGTCCGAAATTGTGGTTTAAACTGGAGAAGCGCCAGATGTATCCCTGTTCGGCAGACACAAGACTCAGCCACCAAAAATGACCACCACAGACGCGAGATTGCCAGCGAGTGAATAGCGAAACCCACCCTAGTCGTGAGGCTGCATGTGTTCACTCAGTGGTCTTGTTCGTTTGCCTTACCTAGTCCTGGATGAACCTTTTCGACACGTCCAACGACGAGCTTATCACGATTAAAGCCTATCGCGAGAGACTTGGGCTACGTGTGGACGAAGGGTACGTTTCATTGGTTAATCTCCACTTGCATGCTCTTCTTGCCCTCCTCGGCTGTTATCGGTTGGGATTTAATCTAGTCTTTTATAATTTTGTATTTGATGTAGAAATACAGGGCTGTGTACTTTTGTTGATTGCGTTTCTTCCGAAAACTCCCATTTTCTAAACTTATTAGCACAGGTAGGGATAGTTATAGGAAAATATCAGAGAGCTCGCAGATTGTTTGATGTCATTAACTCATTATCGGCTTTCATTGGTTAATGTTGAAAACTGATAGTCACGCTCACCCAACGACATACTTGACTAGCTTGACGGCATCAAACGGTCGTATTGGCGATCACTTGTCTTGTCTCTTCTCGGATTGTTAACCAGCAGGGTTCTAGGGTGCGTTCAAGCAGACGCCGCATTTTTTGACTTTTCTGGCCCTCTCTGATGCACATTAACCGTGTTTACAAGCGTGTCGCTGTCCCGAGAAACATTGTGTACGTTGCCATGGAAACAATCTTCTATCGATATGATCCCGCCGCTCCGTTTAACAGCGTCTTATAATGAATCGGATATTCTGGCGACCATACGCTGAACCCTAGGGAATCGTGGATCCACCAGACGAAAATGCGAATGCAGCTGTTACTTTTTGCAAAAAGGCAGACCTCCAAGTTGAAATCTGAGTCAACGCTGAGCAAATGTGGAAGCGATGGTCAAATAAACTTGTTTATTGGCTTTTTCCGCCTCAAGGTCGTCGCGCGATGATGCTAAGCGTTTCGAGAACACAAGTGGTGTACACACCAACTCGTAGCGGTTGGGCGGAGTTTAAAGTATAAAGCAGGTGAAAGTGGGCTCGACATTATGAGGAGCGAGTAAATTTTTTTGTGGCAAACAGAAATCACTTCCTGAGAATCTAGGTTCGTGAGTCAGGCAGTGCCAATTTATTGATTTTCATGACAATTTTTAGGCAAAAAATCGATCAAACTAGCATGCTCGTCATAAATGACCTTTGAACGTGATTAGCTGGAGTCAAATCAGTGTTTAGTTAAATACATGAAAACTAAGCACTCATTAATTTCAGCAATTGGTCACCTCTTACCAGCGTAGAAAAAAAATTAAATCAATGTGGAGGGGTTTATTGGGCAACTTTTACCCCATCTGGTTCATTTCTCCTCTTGAGCGATTTCACATGAATGCTTGTTTCATCCAAAGTGCAAAAACAAACCGCTGTCCGGATCCAAGTTCACGTATAACACTTCCACTCAATTTTTAAATCACTACTGGTCGAACTTCCTTCATGCAAATGATTAGTCCATTTGCGATTCCTTTCAAGGTCAAGTGAGAAAAAGATTATTTGGAATTTTGACAAGTGATACTTTCGAAGCGACGGTAACCTTATATCCACAAACCTGGTTCATAAATGGAATCGCGACTGAATTTATTAAAACAAAAATCGCGAACAAGCTATACATAAAAGATTATAGCGACGCTGATGTCACGACCGAGCTTTACTTCAACAAAGCTGCATTTATCAATGCGACCCACTTGGAAATTTGCAGAAGTTGCATAAAAAAGAGTTCGATTTGGGACGTAGACCTGATTATGGGTTGATTCATGGGAAAAAAGATGATCACGTGGTGGTCACAATCGTTTAAAAGGGCGAGCTCTCACTGCATAGATATTCAGCTTCCGTAGATTCGACAGTAAACAAATTTGATGTGCCATTTTGACCAGTTTAATTAAACAAACGCGCATACATTGTATTGTAATATGTCATCCCTTGATGGAGTAATCTAAGAACTGAAAAATAAACGAAGCCTCATATTAGAGAATGGAATATTCTGTGCCAAACAAGGCATAACGAACGGCCCGCCACACGCACACAGCGGCAAATGGGGCAGAGTGTTGATGCGGCAAATTGAGCCACCACGACCCACAATGCGCTTTCACCTCCAAACTGCCTGTCATCTGATCACCCTCGCGACAATTCGATCGAGCGATCACACGAGATTAGGATACGTCAATCACACCCAGGTAGAGCTTGAGCGAATTGCGCGGTGCGCATGAAAGCAGTTTACTTGCCTCCTTTATAGACCTTGAGTTCACTCTCAGTGAGGCATTTGACTGCATAGAAGTAAGTTTCAGTGTTAAAATTGCACCTTTATTCTCGCCTAGTTCTTCACAAGACTTTTGGTCATCGGTTTAATAGATTTTTATCATTAAGACGGCATTTGTAATGCGGAATCATGGGTCAATAACGGATCATTAATCGATTTGATTTACTAAATCTACACGAAATCATTTTATAAATACTGGGAGTGTGAATATTTGCACCGGGTGTGAAAAATGAACTAAAGTAAAGGCGTAAGAAAAAGATTTCCCACTATCCCGATAATTTTGTTAAATCGCAACAACAAAGGACAAAGGTTTCAGTATATTCAGAGCGTCATTTGCAAGTTAATGTGGATATCTTTCGTTATTTTGACCTGAACATCAGTCGATCACTGTCTGATGACAGACCAAGTACCTAAAATTCACGTTTTATGAAGGTTTTGAAATCAGTAAGTGTTGGTGACCAGCAGAAATTACTTATAACACATGATTAAGTAATGTATGAATTTCTGGTAGCAGCTTGTAAGATAACCGTTTACGTTCGTAAAATTTTCAATCGGAGTAAAAAGTTCGTTTGATTTTAGTCAGTAGAAGAGCTTTTCGTGTATCATGCTCCTCCCCATTATCTTTATAACATTACAAAAACACGTGTTGGTTAAAATCAGTAGTTATCTTTATGGAAATTGCTTTTTTCATGATATTTTCAATTTACTTTTAAGGAATTTTTCACAAAGTTACCACAGTTTAACAGCACCTGTCTTGAAGAAGTTGAACTAAGTATGGTAGCATGCGGGTGGCCACCAATAGGCGTGCTTCGGGCTAAATTGGCACTAAAATGTTGTGACTAAAACTCTATTAACTGGGCACTTTGAGGCTCAAGGTCATTGGTTTTGTCCAATCATCTTTTGATTATACCATCAATTACATGTTCTCCGCCAATATCCACAAACTTCCTTTTGCTGTTCTGTCAATTTTGTTAAACCCGTTTTATTCGCAAAATGAGAGAGTTTTACAGAAATTTCGCGTACCTTCACCCAATCACCCAGAGGTATTTTTTGTTGTTTTTTTTTTAAAATGTAAACCAAATGATTTGGTCTAACAATCATCATTTGCGTAGGTGCGATTTGTCCGCGTGGTCCCTATCATCACGAGAACTGTTTTAGTTATATAACCAGACGTAATAAAAAAACCATATTTTGGCCGCCATTAGATGATTGTAATGCTAACTCATTTTCATCAAATTTGATAAAAAATGTCCAGTGCCTGTGGAATTATGTTCACCACTTTAGCTTCTGGTACATAATAAGATTATTGCTTTATTCGAAAAACTAGATTCGTTTTGATTCCAATAATCGTATCCTCATGCGGAAGGTGCTGTATTCATCTTATATTAAAATATACTAACACCTGAACGATACGTCTGGTCAGGTGGTATACTTAACCCCTAATTTTTATAGTTTATAATGACTTAGTTCCACTCCAAAACCAATTGTACCGATTGCTGCTACTATTGGTATAAATTTAGCAGCAATTTCTGTCATAGCAAAAGCAGGAGAGTGCATTTAACACCGGAAAAATCTTTGCGATTTTCCGGTTGAATAAACCGCCTAGATGGTATCACAAAGCTGGATTCACAAGGTTAGCAGTAGGAGGAGACGTCGATGTCATCACAGGGGGTCAGGAATTGACAGGTTTGGCGTTGTTCTTTTCATTAGATACTGCCCGAAGTCACCAGAACCGACGAGCCCTGAAATGCAGAGCTACCCGTCTCAGACGCGTCCCGACGTCCGTCTGATCTCCGGCAACATGCCGGCAGACCGTCAGTCGGAGATAATCGAGGAGGTCCGACGCCTCACCAATGACAGCCCCAAATTCAAGGAAGCGGAGCTCGTGGCTGAACTAAAACGCTGGCTTGAAGATCGCTACGACAGGGTTTGGCACGTGATTCTCGTCAAGGGATCCTACTGGATGCACTATTCACACGAAGTCGACTGTTCTCTCCAATTCCACATGGGGTCCCACGTCTACCTGATGTGGCGCACGCCTGCTGGCTAGGATGTGACCCCTTTCATGTTCCCCAATTCACGAATAAAGGCACTCAACTATCTGTACTTCCACATAGTCATTCCTGGGTTTCAGGTTAGGTGGTGGTGTGAATGGGAGCAAAGTATTTAGTGATGTCTTCTTTATCCACGATTCAATTTCCTGCATATTTTTTTTGCATATTTCCAAGCCTCTCTCGTGAATTCAAATGGTTCTAGTTAATTGAAGTAGACATCAAAAACTCTTGATATTTAATCCCTTTTGATAGCTATAAACTGTACCGTTTACACAAATGTCGTCGTTTAGAACTAGTTTTTTAAGTATCCATGGGTAGTTTTGGGCTTTAAAATTTCCCCAATGTTAGTTTATTTTGGTATGAAAGAGATTAGAGAGGTCTAATATAGAGTGTTTGGGATATATGAAAACCACATAGCTGATTGTTTGTAAAGCTGCCAATGAACGACTGAACCATCAAACACAAAAAGGCATTGGGAAAAGCCCAGTGTGTACATTCCGAAATGGCCATGAAAGCGACCGAATTACGAGTAAGCAGCTATGGACACGCTACATTCTACTTCATTGATTTACCGATTGATGTCTTACAGTTCAAATTCTGGAATCCATCATGGCGCTTAAGCTGAGGGCCCATTGATAGTCGTGAGCGATGGATTCAGTCCTAAACTATTTTCAAGCTTTTTCAAAGTATGTCTTCAATATCGATCGTATTCAAGACAATCATTTAGTTCAATCTAGTTGAAGAAAAGACCAATCAATGATTTTAATAGGTTTTCCTAAAAGATAAGTATTTGAAAGTCTTTACATAGCCAATTAAATAATGCCAAAAGCTGTCATTGTATTTCTATTGGATAAGAAGTTGCAATAGCTAACAGTTTGCATGTTGATGTCCAGCGTGTCCGGTGTATCTGGCGTGGTCTTTGAGCTCTGAAATCGACGATAGACATCAAATCAAACAGGAGTGCTCAATACTGTTGAAGGAATACTTTGAAAGTAAGAGATGACTCAACCATGACGTGTGAATCGCTACTGCCCATAAAAGGTTGTAACGAGCAGCAAGCCGGCACAGTTAGCAGTCGTGAGTGAACGCAGTTAGCAGGCGTGAGCGAACACGATTCAATCGATTTTCGTCAAATGACCTTCGCGCAACTGCGTGCCTGCAGAAATCGATGCTTAGCGAAGCTATGCAAACGCACTCATTATCCTGTACATACAAGACACTCGGCTACTGCTGCAATAAATTGGTTTAGCAACTCGCCATCTGCAACTTTTTCCATTCTTCTTTCGGTCGGGTCGTATCAACGTAGATTGACCTTCCTGGTGTGGTCCCCAAAAACCGCACCGGGCCCCCTCCAAGGTCTTGTCGTTAGTCGATTCAATCGAATTGAACTGGTAAAAGTCGACATGACAGAATGGCCAGGTGGATGAAGCGGTTAGCGAGTGGTGGATGCACGCGATGCGCAGACAGTTCCCCAATGCGACCAATGCGACTCAGGGCAAAGGAGGTCGGTGTGACGGAAAAATACGACGTCCCGAATAATGGACATGAATCGGCACGATTCATTGCAATACTAACATGTCCTTTGTGCAAAGTTGCGTTAATGGTTGGCTTTTAAATGCGATAATACACTAGCCTCAAAAAACTTACGCTTTGACGATAAAAAAGGTTCGCTAGGACCTACACGGCAGTAAAAAGCAATAAAGAATCACAAAGTGGGCAGTTTTATGCAGTCCTTTTTTGTCTTTTGAAGTAAACGCCAACGAGACGTGGTTCTTGGAAGGAATCCATTTGATGAAAAGATTTTTGCAGTAAAGTTAAGTGCGCTGACAAATAATGCTCATATGTATTTCCACTAATATTTCAAGATTCACATGGGGCAGATTCGACAGGCTAATTTGAAGAATCGAATTAACCTTACGCATAGCCATGGTGAATTGGCTCACTTACGACTTTCCACAGATGGAAAGCGAGGAATATCAAGACAGAAACCAGGCAGTTATCGAACACCAGGCATCTGCTATTCTGGGCCGATGTAAAACATGTACCAACATGGTGAATTTCACGTTACAACGGAAGGCCTTCTTAGACAGGACGTATGCAGTGGTTCAGGAGCTGGCATTGACGACTGGATCCATCTTAAATGACAACCCGTGGACGCTCAACTTAAGGCGCCTTGACGGATTCCAGAAGTTGAAATGGAAGCCGCCTGTTGCTTAATCGATGTACCCGATGTACCCAGTTATTTCTTAAAAACATCGTGTTCAAGGCCGTTATGAAATGTAAGCACCTCTGCTTTAAACAAAGCCATTTATGTTGCATAATTCTACTGTTTGTGGATAAAAAACATCATGAGTGACTTTTAATTGTTTATATTAAATGGGAAACTAAGCAATCGATTTACCTACGTAAAGAAGCAATCTAAAATATTACCAAACAAGTCACCTACTTAACTCAAATGACTGATTTTGAGCACAGAATAATTTCTACAATCCCGTTGGCCGTAAGAGATCAAGGAAGGGATCATTGTTGCTTAATGAATGTATGGCATGATTGCAGTGATAACCTACCATCCAAGAGCACTGAAATAATCTGTTTCCTTGAAATGAATTTTTTTAGCGAATTCAAAACCTTTTTTCGATGTGTAAACACGGAGGAACAAAAATTGAACAACGTAATTTAGATACAATTTAATTGGTTAGTTGCCTCATGAGTAATCCGATTTAAGAATGTGATTGGGAACTTGGGAAATCGATGTGTTTAAAAAAACGCTTTCAACATGTCAACGAGCCCATCCACAGAGCCTAAATTTTGTCACATGGACATATTAAGTACGACGCGTAAATCCCACGGAACCCTCCAAAACGTTTTTTTTGCAAAACCCAATTAATTTTGTGATATCTGTTTTGCTAATTGGCATGCCAGTTTCTTCACGCCTTTCCTACTGAACTCCTCCTTCAGTCATTTTTAGTTCTAGTTTGTTAATAAAAAAATAAATAAAAATTTAGCTAATGTGGGGATTTTATTTTTTCCCTTTATCGTTTCCATTGAGGCTGTGCGTGATGACGAGGTGCCAGAATCGATGATCGATTTAAACAACTGCGACAGCTTCGCTCTTTGAATCACACAAATCCTCGTGATTTCTAACCATTTCAGAAAATTCACCTAAGTTTGGTCTGCTCTCGTATTTCAACTCTTTTACAAGTGGGCTTAATTTTAAGTGATTCAAGCTTGCTGCTTCAACCCCGGAATGCCGTCGATATGTAAATGTGTGAATTTAGGCAGTGCATTTTTCGTTTGTGCTTGCCTCAACGCATTCAATCTTCTATTCTCCCTAATATTGCGAGAATTCAAGATAGAATCGCGTCGAACTGAAGCATTGACACGTGAGATGTGTATCTTGCGCGCGATTTCTGACAGCTTGATGCTATCGCAACGATTCCAGAGTGAGGTGTGACTACACATTTTCTCAAAGAAAACCAACCATTCCCACGGAGCTTAAGCAGTGTGTAATCCCTTTAGCATACACGTTATGTGCTCGAAAGAGTTGCGGATTTCAGCAAGCTGGTCAGCATTTGCCGATCGACAATTGCAAATCAGCTCTGTAATTGAAAACTGCGTCGACGTCAATTCACTCAGTCCGTCATCGTCCTACGACTAGCGAAAACCGGTGGTGTTTTGAACAGATCCGATGCAGTTTTGTTCTGTAAGCCACGTTTGGATCTGGGAATGATTTGTTTACTATTAAAAATGCGATGATCTGTGAATGTAAGTCAATTTGAAATGATAGGTTTTTAAATGTAAATGCAGGAACGTTGATTTTGTGCCCCATAAGATGACAATTTGAGGCTACTCATCGGATCCAAGATCACCGAATCACTCGTGCATGGTGAACCAGTTCGACGATCTGACAACGGCGTCTGCTAGTTCTCTTGGTGTTACGTTTTTACCCGATACGTTGATGCACACCCCGAGCGTAATAGTTGGAACCACTTGTTTGGCGGGTCGAAGGTTTCCCAGAATAAGAGGAGACAGGAGCGTGTGTCTGAACCAGAGGCTTGAACACAGAATGGGGCCAAGGCAAGTGTGTAGCGGATTACCAGCAATAGCGCCTGAGTGAACCCTGTTTACTGATCTGACGGTGACAATGACTCATCTCCTCTCCATTGGTTAGTTTTATCAGATGCCAGTCATTCGTTCACGCATCCACACACTAAGACACACTTGGCTGGCGTGAAGCTAATAAACGGTCGTGTCCACTGTCACCTCACACCCCTCTGAAAATCCCTATAACAAGTTAACGACTGCTGTTCTTGCTCGGACGACCAGCTCGAACGAGGCCCGTCTTCAAAACCTCCTTTCTGGTATTGAACTTGGTGATAGGTTTCCTTCGTAACTCCTCCGGCATATGCGCCACCTTGCCGGGGATAACAAGGTCAATGACTCCGTTTTGAGACCAGTTATTGTCTAAATGTCTCCCCGCGAACATCAATGCCACAATTTCAATCTAGACCTCTGACACACCGCTAAAGAACATCGCTGAGATGACCGATAAAATCCACTAGTGTTTTTCTTGTTGACTGGGTCATGAGACTGTCTCCTCTAACACCACAGCTAACACATACAATTTGGGCATCGGTAAGTTGGAAGAACGGCTGGACAAACTGCCAATGAAATGTGATGAACTTGCTGGAGGTAACCCGAGCGACTTCCACAGACATCCGCAATGTCGAAAACGTTTTTCATTACGTTTTCGCCGATCCAGCCAATCTGGACAACCATCTGGACTATGTTGGTACCATCGGCTGTGTGGTGACAAGGCACAAGCCTATAAATACCCATGTAGTCACCCCCAGGCCCTCAAGTCGTCCAATGTACCTTTGGGAAACGAGAAGGCTGGCCAGTGATGGCAGGTGAATGCTCTGATGTGCCTGGACGACCTGAGATCGATGTGTTGAGTAATCAACACGGAGTGGTAAGTTTTTGGTGTAAATTGCAG